TTTGGAAGTGTTCATTTTACATGTATGACATGAGGCCAAGGGCCATTAACTTGAAAGGTTACAAGTATGTTTCCTCTAAAACTCAAGTATTGCCATTATAGCTTATTTGTGAGAAATGGAGGCTTTGTATGCTAAAACTTGTTAATGGAATGTAAAGAGGCTTTAGGCCATGTTGGTACATCTATTTTATCATATTGAATGCACTTGCATACTCACTTTGGTAAATAACACCATCCTTGATGAAACAAAAACTCTAAGTAGCATTTTTAAGGAGTTTTACCCTATTCTGTTCCAAGGGCATTTCGGGTATTTTGTTTTTTCATTTTTCCTCGAGAGTAACGTAGAAAACTCAATTTTGAGGGGGGTTTCTTCTTTGTATTTTTCCAGAAAATGCCATCTTGGCCCTCAAAAATCCAGATTTGTTCGAAAAACCCTTGCTGCCAGGTTTTGTAGATTTTTAGTGCAAATGTACTTGGTACTATTCATCGACTTTTTTTTGAAAAGTGTGACGACCGATCCAAAACTTCCGAGGGTCTTGTGGGTGTATTTTAAGATTGCATTTTCAATTTAGGCAATTTAAAAACCTCCCGAAGCCCTATTTCCTTTCTTTGGGCAGTAGCTCGGAGAAATTTTTACCCCCTTGACCAGATTTTCTTGGGGGCATTCTGGGCATTTTACAATGCATTTTTTTTATTTCCGTTCTCAATTGAGGTAGGAAACTTGATTTTAGGGGGGGTTTCTTCTTTGAGTTTTTCCAGAAAAGTCCATTTAGATGCCCGTTTTTACTCTCAGTTGCAGTAGTAGTGGGTTGACGGCACTGTAGCTGTCACGGCCTTCGTCGGGCCGCCGCGACGTTGATTTTGTTTTTGACCTTTCTCCCTCATCCGGACTCCAAATCAAGTGAATTTTTTTTTTAAATTGATTAATTTTTCATTGTCTATCCAACGGTATGCTCGGTTACACCCAAATATTTTTGGATAATTACCAGTTTAGCCTTATTGCTCGTTTTTCTTTATTTTGTCGTTTCTCCTTTGTCCGGAATCCGAATAATGAAATTCTTGAGTCCATCATGATTAGTTTTTCATTGTCTTCCTAGTGGTGTGCTCGATAGCACTTGAATCCATTTTTATTGCAAAATGACCATTTTGCCCCTAGGTTCCTTTTTGTCCGTTTTTGAAACGACACTTCGGCATTTGTTTTCCTTTGGGTTCCATGACCTCATTGAGGGTCACATTGGTGTCTTAGAGACGCATTCTATCTCTAGAGACCATTGTTTCACCTTTCGCTTCCGCATTTCGGATCCGTTATCGGGTCATCTTTTGATCATCACTGACGCACCGGGTTTACAAAACTTGGGCCGTCACAATGCGAACACATCTTGATTCTGTCTGAGGAACTATACAAGAGCATTCATGAGATCTGAAGGGAGCAGAAACCCTACACTCACCTTTTTTGTTACGTCATTATCATTTAGGCATATCTCCACCAGGTCCTCAATTGGCTTGGCTCGGTCCCACTCTTTTTCCTCAATTTATTCAACAATCAAGGCCTTTTGTTGCTTCTTTTCTTTGAGAGATGCAACATAGCATTCTCTGGCAGTGGTCTGGTCTCTTCTTAGTTCGCCTACCCCATGCTTTGTAGGGAAGCACATCAAGAGGTGATAAGTCGAAGTGATGGCCTTTATCGAGTTTAAAGTCGTCCTTCCTAGGATGATGTTGTAAGCAGATGGACAATCCACCAACAGGAAGTCTTTTGGTCTGGTTCCTGCAGTGACGGGAAGAATGACAGCTCCTAGAGGATAGACCTTATCCCCCGAGAATCCCACCAATGGTGATCTAGTAGGTCTGAGTTTCTCCTTACCAATCTTTATTTTGTTGAATGCATCAAGGAAAATAATATCAGCCGAACTTCCATTATCAATCAAGATCCGCCAAATACTGTACTTAGCGATCATCATGGTGACAACGAGAGGGTTATCATGGGGTTGTTACGCATCCTTAATATCTTCATCTAAAAAGGTGATAACAAGACCACCTATATGAGGCATTTTTTTATGTTGAATCTGTACTCCAACTTCGCACACCTCAAATGAGTTTCGTATCCTCCTAGCATGGGCCCTACAGGCTGAGCTTGATTCCCCACCCCCTGCACATCCACCGACTATGACCCTGATTTCCCCCATTGGTTGTTGTTCGCAGGGGGGGCCGGGGGGGAGGGGGGCAGTTATCTCGCCCTGCTCTTGGTGGATTAGTGTCGTTTCTATCATTCCCCACAATGAACCTTCGCATGTGTCCCCTTTGAATCAAATTCTCAATTTGATCCTTAAGGTCAAAGTAATCCTCTATGGTGTGCCCATGGTCTTTGTGGAACCTACAGTACTTATCACGAGGTCTTCTCGTGGGGTCACTTCAGTTTTGGTGGCCACTTTAGATATAGTTCATCCTAGATCTGCAGGAAAACTTGATCTATTAGCATATTTAAAGAGTGTAATTTGCATACCTCTCCACGCTTCTATAACGAGACGTCCTTTCATTCTGGTTGACCGTGTGTTTTTTATACTTGATTTCCTTTTCATCTTTGGTTATTAGGGCCGGCCTTTTCTTGTCTGCCTTCTTATCATCCCATTCTTTTCCCTTTCTCGTAGTCATGGTATCTTCAACATTCATGTGTTTTTGAGCTCAGACCAATAACTTGGCCATGTTGGAAAGAGGTTCCTTTGATAAAGAGAAGAGGAATCTCGAGGTTTGGAGTCCTCCCAAAAAGGCGGTTAGGGCCACCTTGTCATCCACCTCCTCCACCTGCAGTATCTTCGTATTGAAACGACCAATGTAGTCTCATAGTGACTCTCCCTTCTACTGTTTCACCGTGAAAAGGTAGGTAGCCGGCCTTCTGTGCCTCTGGCCTGCAATGAAATGGCCCACAAAGTGCTTACTCAATTCTTCAAACGTTTTGATGGTTCCTGGCTTCAGCTTGTTGAACAAAACCCGTGTTGATCCTTTAAAGGTCGTTGGGAAGGCCCTGCACATGATCTCATCCGGCATCATATGCAGATGCATAAACGCTTGAAAGGTCTCCAGGTAGTCGAAGGGATCTCTAGTTTCGCCGAAACTCTCAATTGAGGGCATCCTAAATTTGCCTAGCAAGGGGCATTTCATAACCGAAGGGCTGAACAGCAAGTTAGTCTTTTGCACCAAACCATCTATGGCCACTGTACCTTTCCCCTTAATGGCTTGCATCACATCTTCCATCTTCGCCTTGAGATCCTGCATCTCTAAGTCAAAATGGGAAAACTTCTCCGTCTTTTCATTGACTGTTGTGTCTCTATAGGGTCAGGAACTCCGTGGAAAAGATGGATGGACCACCTCTCTAAGTCGGTTCCCCACCTGGCTTTGTTCCACTTCGGTCTCATTTTCGGGGAGGATTATTATCCCGCTCCTCAAGATTCCCATTACCACCATTTGGATTTGGGAGATCTTGTCGTGGGTAGTTCTGTTGAAACAGTGGAACAAAATGTTGCAAGAGCGCTGCATTTTGCTGGATCAACTGGTCCATACCCTGATTCAGAGTTTGGACCTGTAGTTCCAATGCTATAAGCCGTTCCTAGTCGTTTAGGACTTCTGGGTGTTCACTTGACCCTTCCCCTTGACCAGATCCCTGCAACGATGTTCCTTCGGTAACCATACCGGACCGCAAACACATATACCCAACTGAAAAACTTATAGATTTAAAGGAATCGTTGTTCTCACAAACGACGCCAACTGTTGGGGTTGAATTTCGCCGCGGCCTGGTACGACACCATTTCTTGTAAAATAAAGAAGGCTAAGTCAGGCACCGATGTGCTGCCGGCTGTAGACCCTCTGACGATCAAGTTAGTGGGGGTTTAGAGAGAGAAAACTAAATCGTAATAGTTGAAATAAGATTTTTTGTCTCATACTATGTTCCAGAGTCGTCTCATATTTATGATCTCTTGTTGATATAGTTGGTTGAGTGTATCTCGTTATTAAAGATTTGATTTATCTTCAATAACAACTTCCCTTATCTTTGTTAACGGAATATCGTCGTTCTTATCGTAGACTCTGTCACCGTTCAAAAGTTGAAGAAGTCTGGCGGCTGGTCAACACTTGGTTTCTTCTATCGTTAGGTCAAAGTAGGTTTATTTTCCCCTATATATATATATATATATATATATATATATATATATTTGTCATTGGCAAGAAAATGCCACTAACTTTACTCCTTTGGAGATTCAAACACACACTATCCACTTTAGAAAGTAGTAGAGATACTACTTGCCGTTATTCCAAATGGTGAAAGCGCAACTTTAAATTTTTTGTTTTTCTCTAAAGTTGCCTCATTGGAATTTAGAACCATATAAAAAGCCATGTGTTTTTAATATTTTGAGTTCCTCGACTCATTTGAGCCATGTTTGATCTGATGTCAGCAAGTGTACTACCTTCCATCAATTCATGAAGACATCCGGTGCTAAATGCTTGAAATAAAGGCATTTCGGCTCCATTTGTTTGGATGTAAAATATTTTTCAGAAAATATATTTTTTTATTTTTTTGTGTTTGGTTGTCATAAAATATTTACGAAGAAAAAAATATTAATATTTAATAAAAATAACTTATCCATTAATTTTCAACAAATTATTTTATATGCCTTACCTGATAGACTCGACCTTAACCTCGGCAAACATCTTTACCAAACACCGACAAAGTAAAAATAAAAAAATACTTTACCCGAAAAAATATATATATTTTTCAAAAAGAATATTTTATGTCCAAACAAACAGATCCTTCATGAAAAATTTTATACTTTAATTCCATTTTACTAGCCCATATCTCTGAAAATAAACGTGTGAGAAGGGCAACCGAGCGCTTTTAACTTTAACGGGACAACAAAAATTGCCAAAAAGTAGGTACAGGCTTCATATCCATCAAGTCTTGTTCATGCAACTGGGCTTATGGTGATGTTTAGCAGTAAATCAAGACCGTCCATATCACATTCAAATCAAATCAAAACAATTCTATCAATTAAGAAAAGCACCATACAGCAGCACAGGGCAAAGTCTAACCTCCAATTGCTATAAAAAGAACAAGTATTGTTGCCAGTTTTCTGCCCATGAAATTAAAAAAAAAAAAAAAGAATTTTCTGATTACAATGAGAAACCACTACAAGCATTGAGCAATGGCAAGAGTAGACTTCATTTTAGCTTTCTCTAAACGCATATGTTAGAAATCTGAAGTAAAACCTGTAAGAGTCCAAGAAACAAACTGGCGTTAATGTGAGTTTGATTGATCAACATGTACACGTTCAACAAAGGGTGCCGGTTCCAGGTTTGGGCTGCCCTGAGTTGCCAATGGCAGCCCTCCATTCTCAGCCATTTCCAAAGCAATGATCCCTGGATCAGCACCTGGCCCTGCATTTTCTGTACGGACTGGACGGAGCAGACCTTGCAATCTCAACAGATAACTTTGGCTAGATGGTTGAGTTCTCACATATCTGGTGGTGGTCATAACACTGGCAGATGAACGTTCGGAATCCGCACGGATATTTGACAAGGCACTGAGGTCAAGGTTTGGAAAGACTGAACAACGACACCGAGGGCATTTCACATTCAGTCGAAGCCACTCATCAATGCATTCCACGTGAAAATTGTGAGCACAAGGAAGGCCACGAACCTGCACCACATCTAGTGATGAATCTGAGCTCAAATGCCCTAATTACAGCTGCTACAAGATATAAATATGCATACTTATGTGTTTTGGAGATTCTTAAGGGTTTATATGTCAATAAAGAATTATGAGAATAAGGACATTATGCTTAAGTTGATACTGAAATATGAGATTAAGGACATTATAAATCATGGAGCCGCAGTGTTTGGGTGATCGTAAGGTAGGCATATATTTACCTCATTCCCCACATGGAATTCTTCTAAACATATGGGACATTCACTGCAATCAGTAGGAACAGCCTTGAGCCTAAACTTTGGAAGTTCCTGAATGAGTGCCTCCACTGCTTCTCTCTGCACACCAAAACAAAAACCCAGCTATCGAAAGTTACAACTCAATTCTTAAAGTGCAAGTAAATTAGGAACTCACAGTTATTAACTCCCGAATAACAAGAGTACTGTAAAGTACAGAGGGAGGCAATAGCCACCAATACACCTTCAACTGGGAATCAAAGACAATAGTACTATGCAAAACACTCAATTAGTCTGGATTGAAGGATTTCAAATAAAGGAATTTATGTTCACTCATTTTAAGGAGTGGGTAATCTAGGTTTAAGTTTTGACAATGATTTAAGTTTAGAGTGAGTGATCTAGGTTTAAGTTTTAACAATGATTTAAGTTTAGAGTGAGTCATCTAGGTTTAAGTTTTAACAATGATTTGAGAACCCCATATATATGAATTTTAAATAACAAGGTGGAAGGAGTTATTTGAAATCCATACCAGCAAGAATTCTTACTAAACAATGGTTACAATATAATGTCTCATACTCTATTCTAAAATCCCCTTAGTTATGGAATCCAACTTCAATAAATAATCTTTTGTTTAAACTCAAAACCATTCATTTATCAAAATGGAGCCTTAGCTTCATTATTTTCATAGTGCATTTCTTGAGAAACAGAAATGTGTTTCTAGCTTGACATCTTAAACACAATCTTCCAACTTGCTGCATTTTACCATCATCTAATCAATACCTCTTGAATTTCTGGCACAAATCCCGAACGCCAAATACCATGACATAAAACAATAACCAAATATTAAGGTTTGTCACCAATTATAGATCTTGATAGTAAATGAGTTTAACCTGAGCAGGCGTCAAGTAAAGTCCAGGATGGTATGCAGCAGCTTCTTGGCCCATGCCTCTCGTCTCTTGGCCCGCAGCTTCAAATGCCCAATCTGGTACTCGGATCATGTCAACCAACACCTGAAATGAGTATGAATTGATCTTAATAGCATGTGATAAGTTGGATTAAAACCTACTGAATGATCACTTACAAGCAGTGATGTCATACAGCATATTCTATAATCAGGCTCTCCATGGTATAAATAACAAAACTCAGTTAGCTTCCTTTGACATGGGCGATAAGGAAGCCTTCAATAAATATATAAACATGGATCTCTAGGACACGAAAAGTGGAAAAGCAACTTAGCAATGAAACAATGCATAAATATTTTGCTGTCTTGGATCAGCACTAATGCAAAATGACAATTACTCGATATTGTTATTAGTTGTTCTAAAACACATCCCTTCAATAAATATATAAACATGGATCTCTTGGACACGAAAAGTGGAAAAGCAACTTAGCAATGAAACAATGCATAAATATTTTGCTGTCTTGGATCAGCACTAATGCAAAATGACAATTACTCGATATTGTTATTAGATGTTCTAAGACACATCCCTTCAACGGTCATAATCTTCAAATCAGCTGTTTTCACTTTTCAAGCCTCGGAAACAAAATGATGTTCTATGGTCCATCCCCGAGTCTTGGCCTACTAAAATAATTAAATCCATCAGATAGTTGTTAGGATCAGAATACTACATTGAATTGGTCAAGGGGCTATAGGACCGGATCGTGGATCGTAAGATCCTATAAAATAAGCAAAAAGAACACTAAAACTGTATTTATTAATAAACAATTTTTAAGAATTGATGGAGAACAAGTTTGAAACAAACACAGTCACACACACATTATAATATAGTTTAGAAGGCAGAACCTTAATGACATGCAACTTACAAGTCAGGGTTTAAATGGGAAGATCATGGTTTGTATTTTTCTTTTTTCAATATTCCTAACAAAATGTATGTTTTATATTACTAAAAGTTACTATTTAGGGAAGCAAATCAAGAAAATCTTGTGAAAAATCTACCAATTATCAATTACATATGTAACAAACAACAATTTTGAAATTTTGTTTAAAATAAATCCACCTTATTTATTTTATTTTCAAAACCATTAAAAAAAATAAAAAATAAAAATAAAAATAAGTGTACTTTTATATGCTTGAAAATCTTGGGTGATCATATGGTATCCTATGATATTGAATGAATCCATGACATGATCCTGCTACTATCCTACAATCCCGAATGATCCTATGGAGATCCAACCACAATCCTACTCTCTACAATTTTTTTATGCGATCTAGATAGATTTGACAAGTTTGGATTGTAGGATCATGTAATCCTACAATCTGAATCACGAATCACAATTCCAATCAGTAATCAACTTACCTTTTCTTGGTGAAATACGAAATAAAATGGGAAGAATTTCTTCACAACAGATATCCAAAAGAGAGAAGTGGATTTTTGATTCAATTTCAAAGGAATTCCACACTTGATCCAAACAATAAATTTCTAATTATATGGAATTCCATACAATCCCACATAGTTTGAATGAATTATTTTGATAGACAGGATTCTAGTGGCTAAATTGTGACACACCATCAGCAATCTTAAGCTTTTCAAATGAATTGCTAATATGTTTTTTTCTCAGATTAAAGTCTTCTGATTTCAAGTGTAATGAAAATTTTGGCTCAATGACTTCTCAATTTTCAAAACTTACTTTCAACTACCAGGTGGATGACCCGGGCTTTTTTTTTATTTATTTTTTTATTTTTATTTTTATCTGATTGGCTCAGCAGTGCTTTAAGAATGTGTTTGGATGAAGAATTAATAAATACCATTACCTTCATTATCCGGCCTCCCCGCACGGGCGGCCGCGGGGGGGGGGGGGGGGGGTGGGGGGGGGGAAGTGTTGTGTGTTGGGGATAAATGGTAAATACCTCAGGGATCTTAAAGTGAAAGGGATTTTCAAATGACCTAATAAAAATACAATCGTTATCCAAACATCTGAGATTGTGATGTTGATGATGGTTTATATGGTTTTTCAAGGTGATAGCTAGATGGTGGTGCTAGAGAAAAGTCAATGCAGCGGGAGTTGGTGGTGCAAAGTATAGTTGGAGATGGCAATAACTTGGTGATGGTGGCAATAACATGGTGGGGAAATGGTAAAAATTATCATGGTGGCGTCAGCAATTCTGTCACACTGATGGTGGTGATCGCAGTAATGGCGGTGGCAGCAATAGTAGTGGTGGGCGTGATTGTGATAACTTGTGTTGGACATGGTAGTGTCACAATGATAGTGGTGGGGGTGACACAGTGGCGGAGGTAAGAATGGGTGCAACATAGTGCTATAGTGCGGTGGTGACAGTGAGATGGTAGTGGAAGAAGCAGCAGGCAAGATCACAATGTGGTATTGGTAGAAATGGTACAGGTGTATCCAAATCCTTACAGTTAGAATTTAAGATAAAGGTAAATATATATAGGTATTATTTCAACCAGGTTGGGCCTTCCACATCTTCCTTCTCTTTTTTTGGGATATCACCTATTTAGGTTTTCCATATATGAAAGTTAATTGTAGCATTTATAGCATTTACAATCAAACTATTCCTGTGTTCTTGTAGTCTATAATATACTCTGACCAAGGGGAGCTAGAAAAATGAACTTTCAAATCTTCACAATCTTCAACTAAAGACCCAAAAAATATACGATCAAACACCTGCTCAAACTTACCAACCAAGCAACATTGAAAAGGAACATTTTAGTGAAGCAACCAAAGGAAAGGCGAAGATAAGTACACAAGCTTCATAAAGACTACCCAAATACGCTTCCGATTTTGCACAGAAAAAGTTCTCTTAGACCGACAATGAAGTGCTACTCATAGTCTCATACATCACCATTTTGTATGTGTTACTTTTGCTAGAAGCATTTCAGCAACAAGAAGAAGGAAGAGAAGGAAGTAACTTACTTTCAGTAAATTTGCCATTCTTATGCATTTATATAGAATATTTTATGTTTAACTTAATTCATTCCAAAACACCTATTTCTTCTCAAACTGTGAAAAGGAAATGCAAAATAAACGCCAGATGGTAAAACAACTTCCTGCATGAACTGCTGATAGAAAAACCTAAGGTACCTAATGTGCAGCTACCTTATCACGAAGTAGCTCTGAGACATTATTTGAAACTTAAAATAAACATAACAAATTCAACATTTTTCTTCCTATAAATTGCTGAAGGTTACACCTGAGATATGATATATGCAGCTATTTCCAGACTACAAAAGAAAATGCAAGGTCAACATTCAAAAATGTAAGACAACTTCCCATATGAATTGGCATGGCGAGACATGAATTAGCCACAGGAATAAACCTTTGCAGCTACTTTATCACAAAGTAACTCTGAGACATTATTTTGAAACACAGAATGAGCATGACAAATTCAACGTTATTTACCAAAATAAACAACAAATTCAATCTTATTCTCTTCGAAATCTAAAAGTAATTTCTTTATACCTTACTTTCATGATTATAAGAGAAACACTTCCCTTTGATATTAATTATAAAACAAGAAATGGCAAACGTAAAATTTCCACATAAACTACTCATGCATAAATAGTTAAAAATATCCTGAGAAATGACAAAAGGAAATAAAATGTCAGGAAATTACCCCATATTCTGAAACAGGAATCCCCTGTTGAGCACGTAGTAAGTGTGCTTGTCGTCGAGTTAACCACTGAAGAAGTGAAGTTACACCGTAAAGATCAAAAGGGTAAATATATTTTGATTAAAATGAAGTCATTGAATATTTTGGAAACAGATATCCAGCATACATGTAAAACAAAACTTGAGAAATTAGATATATATAATCAATAGAGATGCACTTTTAACTTAATTCATTGGGGAAAGTGGCAGTTAAATCAATTAGAGAACATTCAGAAAGCAAAACTAACCTTCCCCATAGATATGCAAGCAATGCAAAGGAGTCCGCAGTAGCTGAAAAGCAACCAAATGAGGAAACCCCATTTCTGACCTTCTTCAGGCAACTGCAGGAATTGAAATATGTTTCACCCATTAAAGCTTGATTATAGATAAAAAAAAATCCCCCACCAAAATTAAAACAACAAACGCAAAACTTACGCAGTCTCTTGCCCTAGTGAACCATAGAGTACCAACAACCGTCCAAGCCCAAAGAAAGGGGTAAAGTAGCAATGAAAGAACTGAAAGAACCGCTATTCTTCCACAAAACCGAGCATATCTTTGCTGCCACCCAAAATCCCTAAATCATATGAAATTGAATGTAAGAATAAGAGAATAGATTATGGGCAATTCTGGCATGTATCAGATTCGTTTAAAAGAGCTAGTTATAGAAAGGAGCTAAACACCAATACAGGCACCCTACAAAATATTTGTGAAAAAAAATATTTTAACTCTTCAAGATAAAAATCAACAGGTACACTGACAAAAACAATGATATACATGCTAAGAATATTTTGTGAAATCATTGCCAACTATTAAAAAATGAAGACCCAAAATTTATTTTCCTCATAAGCTGATTATGATATTCAATAAGTAACCTACGATTTTCACAAACTCAAAAATAGCATCAACAGCCAATATATTGGAGGCCTTACAATCCCATTCCAGAGGCAAGCCCATTATCTACAAATATCAAGAGCCGAAAAACAAACACAGTAGTGTAGTCAACCTGATCCAATAAAGAAAAGATTTACATTAGACTAAATTGAATCGGAAGTAAGGACAAGTGAAATTTGGTTAACTCATTGAAGGATTAATACCCACCACGATCCATATGTGCAATGGGTATGTGCAAAGATGGTACCGCTTCCAATTGATTGCGACAATGATTCTAATTGTGGAATCGTTAAAGAATTGACACAAAAGCTTCAAACAAGAACCCAGAAAACAAAAATAAAAACAAATACACTAAAATGGATTTCATTTAAATGTACACAGAACCCACCAAGACTACCAATACTCATTCGCTTCCAATTGATTGCAACAATGATTCTAATTGTGAAATTATTAAAGAATTAACACAAAAGCTTCAAACAAAGAACCATATGCAAAACCACAACAAATCAAAATTTCAAATACACTTGAAAAAAATGGATTTATTCAAGAGTACCCAGTACGCATCAAGACTACGAATTGTAGTTCTAACAATATAAATATAAGTATATATAGATACAGTGATCACACCATTAAGACCTAATCTGAACAAACATTAAACCCTAAAGATGAATATTACTGTAAGGATACATACTTGTCGCGAGCATAGACAAGAAGAACCCATCGTACCTGCAAGAATTAAGATTGAAAAATAGTTCTATATAGACTATATATAAAATTATACAAACACAGTTAACCTATTCATACGAAAGATTCAAACTTACCACTTGAAATCTACGCCTCTGATCGCCATTGAATATGAACTATTTTGAAACCCTAGAATCTACAATTCCAAGATTCAATCTTCATTTCACATAACCAATGCTTGAATCTGAGGGCCAAATCGAACAAGAAACTTTCATGCAACGATTTCTGTTGAGTTGGAGAGCAGCAAATGCAACAAATCAAATCTAGAGAGAGAGAGAGTGATAAACAAGGCAAAGCTTTTTTTTTTCTGGGAGTTTAAGTGGATTTAACTGAAGCAGTCACAGCCTAACGTGAACTTAATACGGAGAAAAAACGTTGACGCACGTTCTTTTTGCCGTCACTTGACGGCGTTTATGGCAGTAAGCCTCACTTCTCTCTCCTACACGCCAACACTACCCACTTGTGATACTTGTGGTAATTTTCTTTTTGTCATTTTTTCTTTTTCCTTTTTTTTTTTCTTCATGTTATTCCAAAACATTTATTTGGTGTAAAAAGTCAAAAGATTATAAGTGCATTTTTTTTATAAATAATCTTTAAATAAAAATAAAAAATTTTACAATATTTTGGGGTACGATATCTTCGAAATTTCCCAATCGCTGTATTATTCATTAGATAAATTTGCCATCACATTCAACGATTGAGAGATTTCGAGGTATTTGAGGTATTCTAAAAAAGATGCGAAATAATAAATAATTAAATAAGTTAAGACTAAAAATACGAGAAATACTTTATTAGTTTGATTATATTAATTAATGACATGAATGTATCATTAATTATTTAAATACTAACACGTAATAATAAAATTTATTAAAATAAAATATCTTTACTTATGAAATAAGATATAATAAATTGATGCCACATATAAGTAATATATGTAGGTAATGAGTCTTTTTTCAAAAATATAATACTTATAGAAAGTGAACTTAGTTGATATAATCACATTTGTAATTGTACACTTTAAGTAGTTTCAAAACTCATTTTATCCTTTAAATTCAAAAACTATATCATTACTCTTAAAGCATAATAGTAATTGGATTGGGGGGAGCATAATAGTAATTGGATTGGTTTTGGGGGGGGGGGGGGGGGGGGGGAAGCAATTAAGTGGTTTCCACGTAGGATTTTAGTTGCTGATGTTAAAATTAGGTTCTCTTGGTGGGAGTTAGGTGGATGGACCTTTTATCTAGGCTTTCTACACAGTAATACGTGTCCCATTCTTTTATTTTTTTCTATTTCGTGGTCCGTCATCCTAATCCTTTGCGGAGGAGAATTCACTTTTTCAATTATTTCCTCTTTAAATTAATTACATGCTTCCCGCATAAGTTGTTGCGTAACTTTGAACAAGCAACTTTTCTTGAAGTTTTAACGTTGATAATGTGATCATATTACCTAAGTCTAATTATATTAATACTCAGTTGAGATTTCGAGTAACATTTAGTATCAAAAAATGATCAGCTTACTCTTTAACTTATCAACCACCACTCATGAAATAACCCATTTAACCTTCCTAATTAATGTCATTTTACTTGAAAGCCAGACACCAAAAACAACGCACATTTACAGGTCAAATCATATACGTATACCAAACAGACACCACAACTACCACTACCACAACATCCAGACAGCAATACCGCCACCACACCACCCATTCCAAACATATGCCCAAATTATATACCTATATATAATACAATATATCAATTCCGTTCAGCAAGAAGCAATATACGTGACTTCCATTTTAGTCGTTGAATTTCATACAATGACTGAAATTAAAAACAACTATTTTGGTTGTTTCTGGTGTTTTAAAACTCAAAAATCAGTGTTTTAAATAAAATAAAACACTTTATAATATGGAGGTATTAATAATATAAAAAAAATTAAACAAATACTTCCACTAAAGTCGTTTGGATATAGAAGAGTGAGAGTAAAAAAAATTGTTAAGTCTCTCTTCTTGTTTTACTGGGTAGAGAGTCCTTCCCTAAAAGTTAATATTTTGGAGAGAGAAAGGTCCTCCAAGAAAATAAATAAATAAATAAATCTGATTACAACTTGTTACTTTACAATTAAGCAACAAAGTTCTAAACTACGGAAAAATACAATAGTGTATCTTTTTAAGGATTTTATTAAAATTTTAATGAAACGTAATTTGAATAAGGTCACCTTAACTGATTGATGAATGACATTTTTTTAATTTATAAATGTTCCTTGTTGCCCAAGTAATGACTCTAGAGGGGGGAGGGGTGAATAAAGTCTTAGCAAACAATAGTCAATTTTCAATTTCAATTGATGTGCAATAGCAAGGGTAATCTCTCAACAATAATTTAACAAAGAAATTTGAAATTTAAGTTACACTTACCAGCAATTATCAACAGATTAATTTAAATGAACTTGAAGCAATAAATATAAGAGATAAAGAGAGAGATTGCAAACAAGTACTCAGCGATTTTAGCGAGGTTCGAAAACTCCTACTCCTCGGCTTAAGACCACTCTTGAGACTTCCCAATCCACTATGGCTTCTCCTTGCGGGTGGAGAGGAAACCTTTTACAAGAAGCTCTTATTTGCTTTTAAGTGCTAAGAGAAACACCTTTTCTTAGTCTTCCCTGGGCTACACCAGCCCTTACAAGATTTGAAGAAGATAGATAAGGTACAATATGATCTCTCTCAGATCTGAAGTACAAATTTCAGCTCACTCTAGAGTATGTATGAATATATTGAAGTTCAATGCTCTTTGAGGACTATGAAGTGTATGAATAATGATTCAAAGACTTTATGATTAAAAAGATATGATACTCAATGGTTGCAATATCTTTTTATGAGGACCACAAGTCATTATATAGAGTTTCAGATGAATCTAATATGTATTCTAACTGTTGGACACACAATTTGAGGTAAAATAGCCGTTCAAAATTTGAATCTACATTGGTTCGGTCAACCGAAATGAAACACCATTGTGTTACGGTCGTCCGAAATGATTTAAGGTTGGCCATCTTTCTTTGTTTCAGTAGATCGAAATAATCTTCCTTTTGTTTCGGTCGTCCGAAACACCTTCCTCCTTTGTTCCAAAACATTCTGTTAGAATCGGTTCGTCCGATTCATTTAACCCTTATGTTTTGGTCATCCGAAATAACTAGAGGTTGGATTACATTAGTTCATTTCGGTAGGCCGAAATGATTTGGACTTTTATTTCTGTAGGCCAAAATAACTTAAAGCTTAGTTCCAAAATATCTGTTTATATCAGTCGATTGTTTCAAGTTATCCTTCCATTTCAGTAGACCGAAATGGAACTTCAATTTCAGGAACATGTTTTGATGATAATCAAATTTAGTCTAATGTTCCTTAAGTTTGGTGAATGAGGTTTTATGCATGATTATTGATATGTGAGCTTTAAGATGTTTATACATGCTTTAACATAGGTTCCTATTCACTCCCCAACTTAGCTACCCCTTTTGATGAGATCTTGATGACTTCTCTTTAAATCTTGATTTCTTGGCGACCTTTTCATGTATCTTTTATGATGCTCCCTTTCTTTTTGAGTTTTCCATGTAATGTTTTGACTTGATGAACGCTTAGATCTGTAATATGCTCAAGGTAGACATTAGAACACATAGAACATCATTAATGAATTATGATCATCAAAAGCCTTGGATTCAAGGTCAACAATCTCCCCCTTTTTGATGATGATAATTCATTGATGTGTTCGATAAATACGAATATAGAATATCAATAGTTCTCCCCCTATTAATGTACATAGTTTTGAAAATGAAGTCACACATATAAGAGATTACAAATCTCCCCCTTTCCTTGTGCATCTATTTTAACATTATAAGCAAGATCAAGACAACATATTTAAAACATGTATTTCATTTCATCAACTCAAAGCATGTATTTCATTTAGTCAATGGAGTCAGATGTAACTAGACTCACTATTACATTATATCCCAAAAAAAGGTTACCACATTCATAGACACAATATCCCACAACATCCTTGTAATGACCCAGTCATTTTCCTTCCTTTCCTTTTCTCAGATTTTCACAGATATTTTTTTTCCGTTGTTCCTTCTCTTTCTAAGTTCAGTTTTTCATCACTTAGTGTCATCTCAAGTGCTCTGAAATGATTTCCGAAACTCTTTTCTTTGGATTGATAACTTCCTTTAAGGACCGAGTCATTTCCACATTTTTTTATTTTTTTGACACTATTCACTTTTCGTCTTTTTCTCGGTTATCACTTTGTTGGAATAAACTCACTTTTCGTGTTAGGATTTGATTCCGGTTTTGCATGCATCCACGATATTTAAATTCCATACTATGTGTATTTTCACTTTTGTAGAAAAGTATGTTAAATGCTTACTTTTCTTGTAAAGGGTATAGACGCATAATCTTTTTGTAATTTTCTTAACTTTTCGGGTTTTTTTGTAATTACTGTACAGTAATTATTTTTCATCTTAGGGACCATTTTGTAATTTAATTTGGAAGATATTTTTAAAAAGGACCTTTTTGTAATTTTTGAAAAGTGTGACAAGTGTCACACTATCATTGGTCCATTTGTTGACATTTGTGTGGAGACACTTTAATGCCTTAGATGATGACATGTAGAGGGTGGAGATTCACACACTTGTTGGCCTAGGATTGGTGCACTTGTTGGCTTGGATGGTTGACAAGTGTAGGCTTAGGATTAAGCCTAGGAAGGAGCCATGGATTGGTGACAAATGTATGCACCAAATTAAGTCTTGCAATTGTTTTTGGGCCACTTTAGGATTATGGTTTTAAGGAGGGGTTTTTATGTAATTGACCATAGATGTGTGTGTTAACCATGGTGTAGGATCACATAGTGAGTGGAGGATTTCTGTTTCCTCCACTCACTCATTTTCACATTATGCCATTTTATTCCTTACAAGAAAACCCTAGCCTCCATGGATGGAGCTTGAAACCTTAGGCCTTGACCTTGATTTTTGATGGTCTTCCACTCACCTTAGATCTTGAAGCTTGGAACACTTTTTGTTCCCCTCATCCTCCTCTACATAACCCTAGGAGGGTTTATCATTTTGAACTTGTTTACCTTGGATTCTAGAGAACCACTTCTCTAGTGAGGTAGGGGATGTTTTAGGACTATCTATGTGTTGTATTAAGTATTTCTCATGATTATACAATTTATATGTTTGCCTTGTATTAAATCTAGAAAGTTAGTAATAATTATTTCTTTGTATAAGATTTAATTCACATGATGATGTATAATTTGGATTTGAATTGTGGCATGCTAGAGAGCTTAGTTTTAAT